CCACGACGTACATTTAACAGTATTGCACCTATTGAACTTCAATGTGTACTCTATTATTCACACACAATAAAAATGTTAAAATAACACTGATAGTCTGTCTTTGAAGTGACAAAAGCCAGAAAAATCAGAATTAAAGCTGCAGCTCCATCTCTAACTAACCCCTGTGTGTGCCTTTGGTAGCAGTCCAAATAGGGTTTCTGACCTTTCTTAAGCTACCTTTGTATTCTTTTTTTTCTTTTCTTTTTTTTTAATTCGTCTCCTTAAATGGAGAAGGATAGAGAAAGATCACAGGAGGCTTCAGTGATGATAGTGATTTCTATCTGTCTCAGGCTCAGAGACAGTAGAGCTGCTTAGGACTTCAATTTATGTATTTTTGTAAACAAACAATTGTTAAATTAATCAGGCATTTTTTGTTTCTCAGTATTTCTAGACTTAAAGTCTTTTAACAAGTTCCTATTGCTCACTTCCAACGTTTGCAGCAGAATTTCATGCAAGAATTACCGATCAAACTTTACGACAGTACGTTTATATTTTCATATATATGTTGAATGGTCTTAATCAAGCACAGGATACCAACAGTACTGCTGCTCATTTCCTGATGTTGTGCACCCACCTGCCGTTAGTAAAAGTCCTTTTGATCATTTTTCCTCAAAGAAGAGGTTGCAGTGTGGCCAGTTGTCATAAACTGGTTGACGGCGGCGGCAGCAGCAGCAGAGTGTGGTTTACAAGGAATCTAAATGAATGTATCCATTCTGAGTTTAATGAGGAATGAGTTTTTTTCACAGGATTCCTGGTTCATTCAACACACAGGACGGCCCTGCTTTACAAGCATCATTTGGTGGAGAAGACTTTTGTCCATCAGAATACTTCTCACACAAAGTTTCCTGAACAAAAACTGAAAAGACACTTCTTTTGGAGAGTAACCCATACGTCAGAGATCCTACTTTGATTGTTAAATCCCATGTTTACCTACAGAACAAGCAATAATGACAAAATAAACTAATTCCAAATTTTTGAGAAATGCAAACTTTCACATGATCCATCAATGGGAACAGCATAAACTTCTGCCACCATTCACAAAAAGACAACAGCTATCATTTACACGAACCAATGGAGGAATCAGGGACTGTGTTAGATCTCAACAAAATTTTCCGCTGATGCAAGAGACCTAATATACGCCACATTAAACTCACAATTCTGCCTGAAAGCATATACTACAATTCATCAGCTCTTCTGTCCCTACATTATATGCCCTCTCTCCCTTCACTTACCTTTTCCTGTTCCTACATTCAGTCATCTTTTTCTCAAAGTCCTCCATCTTAGCGCCCATTTTTGCCATCTGCCCTGCTACTTAAACCTCGTACATAGAAATGTAGCTTCCTATCCTTACTCTTAACCCCATAATGTTCATATTGACAAATTCATAGTCAACCAACAGGGGTATCTCAAAGTGTAAGAAAAATTAAATTTCATTCAAAAATACACTGTATACATAAAATTAGCACATATGAAGCATATGTATGTGTTCTTTTCTCTTCATGAGCCAATATATTTTCAAGGTACGGTTACATAGGAACTGAGTACAAATGACGTTTTCCCATTTCACAATTTATTCATTGGAAAACACCTAGATCTTGGGCCCTGAAATCTGATGGAAAGCTGCATGGGGATGGCAGGGAAGGCGTTTTAAAAATTTCATAGTAATTTTCCAGCATTGAACCCAGAGACCTATTAATTCAAATATTACTATACAAAGTCTATGCAGGAGATATTGATGTAATTATACTGACTCCATCACTTCTTCCTAATAAGCATCTACCAGAAACTCAAGCTTCCTAAATGATAGGTATAGAAAGGAAATATTCTTACCCTCAATAGTCTTGCAAGTATTTAAGGAGACTGGCATGGCAGTAGGATGGAAAGCTGTGCAACGTATCTAAAAGCAATACTGAACTGTGTACCACTTCTGCAGATTACCAAAACTGGATTATGACCTTAAGTGGCAACCTCAAATCCAACAAGTGAATACATTTCTCTAAATTCTTGAAGTTTGCAGCACTTACCTGGCTTAATTCTGGTGGCTCACAATGTGCTGTCTAAATACGTATGTGTATAAATTTTAAAATGTAATTTCACCACTAAACTGTACCTGCTGTTAAGCATTTAAAAAAAAAAATTGAATGCCAGTAAGTACCTAGCAAAGGACAGTTTGAAACATGCAGTTTTCCTCAGAAAAGGATACTTACATGAAAGAATTGCATACTGATGCCTTAAAAACAAATGCACCTTGGAAAACTGAGCAATGTGTGAGATGACATATCACATTCCTGCAAAAAGCAAACCAACAAAAAACTATGGTGCATTCAACCCACTTGTTCGAACGGATCTGAAAGCCTGACTGCGTCACATTCTGAAAAGTCTCTCAAAAAAGGCACTGAGGGATTCTGCATTTATCGGCACTCATGTTTCTTCAGCTCTGAGGGAAAAAGGTGTTTTCAGA